TTATGGATTCTAAATTTATTTGTAATTTATAGAAATTTGACCATTATTTAATATTTTTTCCTGAATAAAGGATGCTCAAATTTAGAATTTTGACTGACTGTTTTATTTGTGTTGCATGCAAAAATAATTAGATCAGTAATTCAAAGCGCAAATTAAAAAAAAAAAAAAAAAATGTAAATTCCCAAAATTAACCAAATTCCATGAACACCGGGTTGTGTTCTACCTCTGCGCAGTTCTGTCGCTCCAATAATAATACCTCCGGCAACAACATCCACCATCATCCGTTCACTGCCAACTCCACCTTCCGCGCTTCCGCAGCCGCCGTTTCCGCAACGCCGGCCGCGACATCAGGCGGTGGGAAGACTGTGGGACGGTGGCTCAAAGACAGGAGGGAGAAGAAAAAGGAGGAAACCCGTGTACACAATGCGCAACTCCACGCCGCTGTTTCTGTCGCCGGTGTTGCGGCAGCTATCGCCGCTATTGCTGCGGCCACCGCTGCCTCGTCGGGCTCCGGAAAAGATGAGCAAATGGCTAAGACTGATATGGCTGTGGCCTCTGCGGCTACGCTTGTCGCTGCGCAATGCGTTGAGGCTGCCGAATCCATGGGTGCTGAACGCGAACATTTGGCTTCTGTCGTCAGCTCCGCTGTTAACGTTAGATCAGCCGGCGATATAATGACGTTAACTGCTGGAGCGGCCACGGGTATGATTTGTTTTTGTTTAGATTGTATTTTAGGAATTTTTGTTAATGCGAATTTGATGAAGAATGTGATTTTATGGCATTGTGTGTAGCCTTGAGAGGGGCGGCCACGTTGAAGGCACGTGCGTTGAAGGAGGTGTGGAATATAGCGGCGGTGATTCCAGTGGAGAAAGGAATGGGTGGGGGTGGAAATAACAATAATGGGGGTGGTAGTAACAATGGTAGTTCTAACGGTAGTTTCAGCGGTGAGCTTGTTCCTGAAGATAATTTCTTAGGTATTTGCAGCAGAGAATTGCTTGCCAGAGGTTGTGAGCTACTAAAGCGTACCCGTAAAGGTAATTAATTGTTTCCAATCAATTCTTTTTCTTAATTTCATGATATAATTGAAGTTTTTGTGGGATAAGTTGTTCAATGAATTTGATCCTCTGTTTGAGCAGTTTTGTTTTCATTTTTTGTTGTTTGCAAATTGAGTTTCTCATGTTTGTGTATGGACAGCGTTTTCAGTTTAAGCTTGATGTCGTGAATTCTGACATGTTTTGTGAGCATATCATACTGTAAGTGTGTTCTTAGGAGATCATAGTCATGACTGGAAATGGGAAATGTGAAATGTTTTCGTCTTAATGATTTAATTTTATTACTGAAAGTAGCAGCTGTCTCCGTAGAAATGATCAAGGCTATGAGAGGTACGATCGTTAATGGGGTTTTGATCATATTGTTCTTTTCGTTTATTGCAGGTGATCTTCACTGGAAAATAGTTTCTGTCTATATTAACAGATCGAACCAGGTATGCAGATTCTTGTTAATTGCGAAAAGCCAAAAACCATGTTCTTTAATATTCATTTGAAAGATATCATCTTGCAATTATTTGGTCATCAATAGAACTTTAGTGTTAGTAATGTGAACCTTGTGGTGTAAAAAGTTTCTCAGCAAAAGGTTTAAAATCTGAGCATGATGAAATAAATGGTTCTGTGGTCTCTTCTTTTTCCTCTTTCTTTGTTATCTTTAATCTGTTGAACCTTCTTTTGGTGTAGGTTATGTTGAAGATGAAGAGTAGACATGTTGCTGGGACCATCACGAAAAAGAAAAAGAGTAAGTGATTACTTTTGTCTTTCTCTAATAATGTGAAACAGAATTGGAGGTGGGCTCTTCTTCTATTTGGGGATTTGAGAAAGCAGATTGGCACTAAAGTAGAAAAAATCAAAAGGGTTTAGCTTTAGTTGATCTTTATTGAATTTCAGGATCAAAAGGGTTCATCTCTAATGTATCTCTTTTGAATTTTACAGATGTTGTGTTGGAGGTGATTAAAGATATGCCCTCATGGGCAGGCCGCCACTTGCTTGAGGGAGGTGAGAACAGGCGATACTTTGGGTTGAAGACAGTTATGCGTGGAGTTGTAGAATTCGAGTGCAAGAACCAGAGAGAGTATGATATATGGACTCAGGGGGTGTCAAGGCTCCTCACTATTGCTTCAGAAAAAAGTAATAGACATAGAGTTTAAACTGTTGTTTACATGGGGAAAATTTGGTATATTAGATAATGGGAATAGGGCTAATAGCCCTTAAAACAAAAAATATCATATGTTCAAGTAAAACTACTGGGCTGTTCTTTTGGTGTTTCTATTGTAAAAATGTTGAAATATTAAAGAGAAGAAGTCCAAATGGGTCTCTTTACTTTAATTTGGGGGGATTATATCTTGAGCTTTTGTTGTTATTTTGAACTGGAAAGAGTAAAGTGATTTTGAATCAAAGCAAAGCAAAGAAAACCATGTGACACTGGCCATTGTTGTGGAAAGAAAAGGAGTATCTTGGACTGAGATGGTCAAAAAGGCAAGAAAGGAATCCCATTTTGAGGAGAGGAATATAAATATTGAAGACAAAGACATACCCAGATTCTAAGTGCTTTTATTTTTGTATTTTTAATTTGTGGGCTGATGCCTTTGTCCTTTATTTATTTTTTTTGGCTCTTTGTTTTAGGCTTTCGATATGGTGGAACCATGATTGTCTTGATTTGTAATCTTCCACTTTATATATTAGTTTTGTTTGGATTTAAGTGATGAAGAGCTGGTTTGGTGAAATATTTTATTTAACTTAAGTAGTAGAGATCCGTATCCTGATTGTCAGAGGGAATGTATGAAAGAAACATGGTCATGGTTTCTAACTATAACCTTTCAGTACTCTAATTTATCTAGTAACAACTTTTTAATCAGACAAAAGAAGGACCATAAATTCATCCCATCAAATCTTAGAAGATATTGTTTAAAATAATTCGTTTCATAACCTTGTCTGGATGTTTTAACTGTTCACAGGCTGTTCAATTGAGATAAGGTCAAAACAAACAATCCAGAAGATGAACTAGGTGGATCGGGTCATCTAAAAAAGTAATTTTTTTTTTTTGAATATGTGTTAAATAGAGATTCTTAGGTTTGTTATTTAAGAGGTCTTTATCCGACTTATAATTCTAATGTCTTAGAGATTAATTGAGGTGTGTATAAGGGTCGGACATCCCTGGTCATAAAAGTAAAAAAATAAAATTTGAAACACTTGATTAATGTATAACCCATTACACTGTCCTTGTGATGATTGTTCGGTTTGATTAAGTGATGGATTAAACTTTTTTGCGGAGATAATTATACATAAATCCTAGATTAGGCTGTGCATAAAGCAAATGCTTAGGAATATGTAATCATGACTGTGCAGTTTTTGTAAAGCTGAAACGATTCACATACCTAAATTCTTTAATTGCGAGCTAGAGGGAATGTACCTTTCCTATTCACATTCATACATAAAAAGAATTTAGATGGGCATTTTTCTTACGATATGGATCTGGGTCTTCAAGGCTTATAGGAAAATTTGGCCTATTGGTTAGCTTTGGAGATGGGGTGCAGTAAGTTTGATGTCATGGCATAATTTTAAAATTCATTAAAAGCATTTTCTGAAAACAATTGCCATCCAGGAGGGAAAGTTTCAAACTATTTGCAGCACGGAAAATAATGCTTCAGCAGTGATCAGTAAAGCTGCTGTATTGCAATTGCAAAGCTGCTTATTTTGCCAGTCAAATCTTGTGCTCTGCTCACAATGTGACTCCATGTATAAAGGCAAAATGTTAATTTAAACTTTGGATTAATACAAAGTAGTAAGTTCTTTTTCAATAGTAATGGAGTTATAAATAAGATAAAATAGACTGATCATCCAACCGATTTATTTCAAATTTGATGGCAGTGCCATGAATGTAATTAGTGGATATCCTTAAACACAGACTGTACCACTTTTCTTTCAAATTTACTTCTCAAAGTTTATTTACACTCGCCTAATCAAAGCTGATTAAACTAAAATAAACATCTAACCAAAAAACAAGAAAAAAAATCAAATGTATCACGGCAATGTAAAGATTAGTAGTAAAATAGAATCAATTTTGTGGAGTTAAGCTCTAAATATCCTACACTTGAAGCAACCAGTACATATCTAGAATTTGTATGCTATGTCTATGTGGTCAACAATTCCAAGCTTAAAGATATATACTTGTACTTAAGTTCAACATGAAAAACAGAACTCAAGTTGTGTTTCAGCGTTATGAAGTTAAGAAGGTACTTACGAAAGTAATGTACGAGAGCTGCGCAATGGTGGTGTTTTAAGCAGCCATGGCAAATTCGTCTAGTTGTTACGCTTGATCAGGTTGTCAGTTTGTAGCTCTGAATAAGGTAAGGAGGGAAAAGAAGAGGTTGACAACATCAAGATAAAGAGCCACTGAAGCCATTATATATTCGTCGTAGGTGTAACGCTTGATCAGGTTGTTTGTGTCATAGATGATGTAGCCACAGAATATAAGAGACGCCAAGCCCCCATATATTGCATGTGATAGCTTTCCAAGAGGGAAAACCATCTGTCACACTAAGAGTTTAGTCAATTTTATACAAGTTCAAGACTGGGGAGGGCATAAGCAAGCAAATCAAATGAAGTAAGTAGCAAAGACCTGGATGAATGCGAAAACAAGAAGCACCAGAAGGGAAGCAAACAAAAAGGGTCCCAGAAAGCTGAAATCCTTGCCTCTTTTCACAGCCCAGAAAGTGTAGAGAGTAAGGCTAACAAGCACAACACTGGTCAAAATTGCAGCTTGCAAAACTATTTTCCCTGTTGGCGAATCCAAATATCATAGCTTAGTCAAAAATCAGAATAAGAAATAAGTGTCTAATTTTAAACATTAATCATTGCATATCAAGAACCTTTGACTAAATGTGTTGCCTCCTGTAGGTTTAATCATACAGAACATACTTGAATATGAGCCCATTAAGGAGAATGTTCTTGATTAAGTATTTGAAACTGTATCTCAATAATCTGCTCTCTAGCTTAGAATTCTTTTCAACAAATTAACATGGCTTGATTGTCTTAAATGAACTACACCTACCCAAAGAAAATTAAGCAACAAATGAACATGTTATGAACAACATTTGAGCAACTGCTCATTTGATAAACTAATCAAGCATCTTCCACCACACTTTAAGACCTTGTGAAACAATTATATTACCAATTTAAATTTTTACTTAAACCAACAAAATGTAGCCCACAAATTTCCTAAAACTCTTCCATGCCTAGAAAACAAGAGATGTTATCTGGCGGCTTTTGATTAATATGCTATGCTTTTAATTGATCATTGTACTGAGTCATGAAGAAAAAACCATGTAAAGCCGTAAAAATCACAACCACCAGAGGATCAAGAGCAATTTTAAAAGAAGAGCGTTGATGTAATCTTCCCACAAAGAATGATAGAGAATCTAAAGAATAACTGATGGCTAACTTTTGTTTTGTTGTGCTTTTACAGGAAAAAAACAAAAAAAGGTTCCTTTCATGAGAAGCTCAGTGACCAATTCAGAGTTACATAAGCTAATATTTGGTAAATCAAAAAGTCAACTAAACACTGGATCTCAAATAAATGTCTAGGAATTTGATTAAAAAAGATCCCAAGCAAACCCCTAATTCACAACGAGGCTCGCATAAATCAGTTTGTGAGAAAGGATTGCAGTTGTTAGATTGATAATAAAGGCTTTTAGTCTCATTCTCATCTCACTCTAATAAATACTGGAGCAGAGTATATCCATCATATCTACCCAGTCCAAGTTTCAAAAATCAAACATCTCTTTCCACCTAGAAAAAAAATTGGACTAATTTCACACAAACACAATTTTTTTCGATAAAAACAATGCAACCATAGGTTCTGTTTGGTTCATGCGAAAATGCTAGAAAATAACAAAAGAACTTTGTTATCCAAATCTAACTAAGGAACAGAATTCAAACTAACATTATCGACCTTAAGCAAAATAATCACCCACCCAACAATTGTTAAACCAACAGCAATACAAACAAAAGAGAAAGATTAGTTCACTAAACTGATATTAAAGCAATAAAATACTGTGAACAAAGAAAGATTAAGACACACATATAACCATAATACCTTCCGTAAAGGCGCAAGAAAGTCCCACAGCAAACGAAATGTTTATTGTAAACAGCATGAGAAGGATAAAATTCCATGGATGATGCTTGTGATAAACGTACAAAGGGCACAACACTGCACATCAAACAAAATACAAGTCAATCACCCATTAATATTCGGAATAACCCACCATAAGAGTAACAAATTTTCTCAAATCAAAATGAGCCTTGATTTTACAGACCTAGAAGGTCTTCAACAAAATGAAACAACTTACGGAGAAAGGGAAGGATAAGGATGACAATATAGACGGCAAGGCCAGGCGTCCCACTTTTAGCGAAGAAGTTGGGGATGGGTTCGACAAAGACGACAACCGCAGCAACCACAACAGTCAAAAGAAACTGTACGGATAAAATGGCGTAAACTTTTCTTATAAAGGCCCAGCGTATCTGTGGCGACTCCATCATCCCCGGATACAACTGGTTTTGGTTACCATTTTCTATGTCACCTTTCACCATGTTTTGGTTACCAATTTCTACGTCACCTTTCACCATCTTTACTTCTTTTTCTCTTTTTCTCACGGACGAAGAAGAAAGAAAGGAAGAGTTGTGTTTGGAAATTGAGGGAAAGCCAAGTAAAATTTTCCTTTAAAAGATTTCTGAGTTTGTTATGATAAATGGGTTACGCAAATTTCGCGCGAATGAGCGTTTAGTGATTGTTTAATCGCGTTATGTTATGTGATTGTAATTATTGCCTTAATTAGTGTTTATTATACAAAATTAATTATTTGTTGGGGAAACTTAGAAAGATGGAATTCCCGTCTGGTTGAAATTTTTTTATTTTAGCAACCACCCTCTTGTTTCAAAAATATAACCCTAAACCCTATGTGTTTAGCCGTTTTGTAGCGAGCATCTGTTAGTTTTGAAAATCTGACCCTGGCAACATTTTTGACAAGTTGTTAAGTTATTCTGTTTAAATTTGAAGGCATTTAAAGTCTATCGACAATCTCGAGATGTTAATATGTTTTTTGGAGGTTAAATTGATGAAATTTTTGACAAATTTGAACATGGAATGAATGACATTTTCAAAATCAACAGATGTTTACTACAAAAAATGTCAAATACACTACATTAGAGTAGTTTTTTGAAACCCAGACTTGACTGACTGGTCTAACCGGTTCGATCAGGTTTTAGGGCCAACTTCGGTCTAAAAGCAACATAAACCCGGTTCTACGCATTGAACCGCCAATGGACCAACTTAATAGTGACGAACCATCGATCCAACCTGACCGGTAGATAAATCGATTCACTTTTTAAACAAAATCCCTAAAATCCCAATTACAGTTCTACTTCTAATTCTTCAAATAAAATCCCAATTCGATTGACATACACACTGCTAAGGTTGTCTTGCTCTTCGGGGGTGTTCTTCTTTTCAATTTTTAGTGAATAATAAATCTTTTGGTTCAAATGTTAAGGAGAAGTTGTAGAAATTGAATGAATAGAATGGTGTTTTTTTAGAAATCAACGAAAATGGAGCAAGGAAAGTGCTTAGGTGGTGTTTGGAGGGTTGGGAAAAGCAGGTGGGCATCGGAAACGACCAGACAAAGGCTGGGGTGGATTGCAGTTGTGGCAGCTAGGGTTTCCTAGAGTTTTGATTGCAGTTGTATGTTTGCTAGATTTCAAACCTATAGGGACTGATGTGTAATTTCTTAGGGGTATGTCTGTTAAGTTTTAAACTTGCTGGATATGCTGACATCATCAGTCAGACTGATAGGTCCAATCGGTCGGACGAGCCAACCTAGAAATCGAGTTGCAAAACATTGTGTTAGAGTTGCATTTCCGAAACTAATAGATACTAAAAGAGAAAATCAAACACACGGGTTTTACAATAAAACAAAACAAAAAACCATAAGACTTATAGTTACAGTATATATATATAATGGTGTAGGAGTATTATATTTAGAAGAAAAGGTTATACTTTTAACTTCCTCAATTAAAGATTCTTAAATATGCTAATGAAATTTATGTCTCTTGATTCTTAAATATCAATGAGAGTGTATAATTTGTCTTTTCAATTTGTAGTTCAAATCTAATCTTACATTCTTGCATTTCAAACAAACTTTATTACAATTATAAGGTATCCATTCACAAAAAGAAAACCCAACTCCAATAAAATAACAGGAAATTAAAGATTAGTTAAAGAATTAAAACAGTTATTAAAGAAAGAAATAGTATAAGCTATGTGGATTAAGATAGCTATCATATATTTATATGGAAAATAATACAGCCACCGATGGTAGTACACCGAATGACGTGACAATATTCATCAACGGTCAGGATTTTGTCACATCTTTTCAGTGCACAAATTCAGTGCACTATCGTCGGTGGTTGTAGCATTACTTTATTTATATTAATTCTACCTTTTATAGGGGAGCGGAAGATAGAAACTAGCTGGGAGAGCGTAAGCATTTCAGTAAACAGCATGAGAAGGATAAAAATTCCATGGATGACGTATCAATATTTGCTGCAATTAGAATTGACCCCCACTTATAGCAAAAAAACATTTGATGATAGCATCCTAAAGAAAGACGATAATTGTAAAACCCACAAAACCCTCAAATCAAACAACAAAATCAATCCAAAAATTAACAAAAAAAGATAGAACAAATACAATTAAAATTACGTATCAATATTTGTTTTCCTTTGCCATCACTAAAATTGAATTTGTTTTATTATGTGTGTGATGATAAAATGAATAGTTCAGCAGTAGGTCTATAGTTATCCTAATTCATCGTATAATATATCAAATTAAATCCTTATTATTCTAGTTTCCAAAGATTCAAACCGCTCATCAATTAAATTTTCATTGAGCAAGTTATGACTAATTTATTACTAACTGTTTATCGAAAATCAAGAAACAGGGAAAACCAAAATGTGTGTGATGATAAAAAGAGTGGTTCGACAGAGGGGCTACAGTTATCTAAATTAAGCGTATAATATATAAAATTAAAGCCCTGTCTGTCTAGTTTCTCAAGATTCAAACCTCTAATCAATTGCAGTTTTATTGTGCAAGTTATGGTCAATTTAATACTGACTATTTAGTAGAAGCCGAAATATGTGTGATGATGAAAAAAATGGTTCGACAATAGGGCTACAGTTATCTAAATTAAGCATATAATATATCAAATTAAAGCCCTATCTTTCTAGTTTCTAAAGATTCAATTATTTTATCAATTGGATTTTTAGTGAGCAAGTTATGATCAATTTACCACTGATTATTCAATGGAAACCGAAATACGTGTGATAATAAAATGTACTTAACCCAAATTTAAGGGATTATCATATTAGAAGTGATAAAAAGTATTTCAAATAACACATATTAATTGGAAAATGGAATTAGCTAAAATGAATTCATTTAACATATATACTCACACACTAGCAGGACATAAACAATTAATCATTCATATAACAAATTAAAATACACGAATATTTTTATAGAAAACATATTCAACACAAATGAACTGTTTCTACTAATATAGATATGACATATACCCACAGTACATGAACATTTCCTTGAAAACAAACATAACAAAATTTAATCGATCTTCATGTTAAGATTGTTAAGGAACAATTATTCATTTGTATAAAAACTATTACCTAAAAACGAAATCAACAAAAGTTAATTAATCTTCATATTAAAATTGTTAAAGAATATACTTACCGTTCGGCAAAACTAACACAATTAATCATTCAAATAGATTGACCGAACAAAAACAATCATGCAATCAAATAATAACCGTTAAAATAGTTAAGAGATATATTTATAATTTCGTATCAAAATAGTTAAAAGATATACTTACAGTTTAGAAGAACGAATCAAAATAACAACTCATTTTACAATGTCAATCAGACATTCTACCTTTATCCCATGCCAATTCATGAATATTTGACCTGTAAACAACAACAAAATTATAAATAAATAAAAAATCATCGATTAACAAAATCATGAAGAACATACGTATTATTGACATAAAATAACATGACCTATAAACAATTAACAAAAAACTAGACGTATTGTTGACACCAACTAACATATTGTGATAATACACAACTGAATATGTGCCTCTTTTATAACCCTTTATTTAGACATTTCGAATGCCAACACAATTAAATACGAAGAAAAGTTTGTAATGTCAATACAATGTACCTATATAATTATTAATAAATAGGTATATTTTTACTACTAATGCAATGCACCTATATAATCCAATCTTTATGTCTATTTATTTAGACTTTGGAATACCAATGCAGAATTAATATTATCTATATCATCGCCAATAAAATTTATACACATGGCAATCATAAATCTAATGTGTCATTATGATTAGACATTTAGAATGTCAATACAATGCATTTATATATTTAGTATTATTATTAATTTTTAATACAATTTTTATTAATTATTCATTATTAATACAAATCCAACATGTCAAGATGGAGCAATAAATACAAACCCCATGTGCCAAGATAAAACAATTTGATTGGACTCATTAAACTACAAATCTCAGTTGTCAATCCAATGTGTCAAGATGAAATAATTCTATGAGTTCCAAAATGTGCCACATGTCAAACAACCAAGGGGGGTATTCAATTATATATATATATATTCTTTAGAAAAGAGGATCTTATTATTTTCTTATATTTAGGTTTTCTTATTTTATTATAATATCCTAATTAAATTCAATTTATTATTTAGGTGTTTTTCATATTAAGATTTGTTTCGATTAACAGATTTATTCATTTCCTAGTATAAATAAAGGTTTTGTAACCTAAAAGTTAACTATTACACATTGAAGAAGTATTGAGAAACCTGTGGGTTTTCAGTTTATCTAGTATTCGAATCTTGATATAATTTGGTAGTGGTTTTTCATATCACTTTTAGTTTTAGTCTGTCTCTTTATTGTTTCGGCATCAAATATATTGATTTAAATTTAAATTTTGGTATAATTAATGTAAACTTCCAACAAGCCGAGCCACTTGTCTATAACTGTAAGAATAATACTACACATACATCATTCCCATATAACATTTCCCATATAACATTATATGGCAAGATATGATTGGGTGACAGTTTAATTTTAACTTTAAATTAGCCAATCATATCTTGCCACATAATGTTGTATGAGAAATATTGTATAAAAATGATGTATGTGTAGTATTACTTTAACTTTAAACACCTTAAAAGGAACTTTCCATACGTAATATGTAGCATCTGAATATCCTATAAATGAACCTATGAATACAACTTACAAATTGTTTCCCATGAGGTTTGCATAATTGAACATACTTTTGTTCAACGGGGGACAACAAAATTTAAGTTGTGGTTGAGAAATTAATATGAAGGGGATAATCAAGATATTCAAGAACAGAAGCACTAACTGACTACCATAAGAGAGCAACTAAGAGGTCGATGATGCCAAAATGTAAAGAGTTGATGATCTTACCATATCATTTTGTAA